CCTGGCAGCTGGGCGGCGGAGCGGGAGCTCGAGGAAGTAGGGGGAGAGCGGCGGGGGCTGTCACGCTGGGGAGAGGGGAAGGGAACGGACTGAAGAGGAAGGCGGGCCAGCCGGGAAATGCTGCCCGCTTGGGCTGCATCGCGGTCGCCCTGCAGCCACTGCAAACCTGCGGCGGACGGGGGAAGGGGCTCCCCAGCAACAGCTCGAGGCTCTGGCGGGAACACTGCGGTGGCAACCCTGCCACTGTCGCCCAACTGTTCCCTCGCACGCAAGCAATTATGAGGCGTTCTTCGAGCGCGCGGGCAAAGCACGCCCACAGTTGCAGGGGGAGGAGGAAGAGGAGGAGGCGGAGCTCCCCAGACTAGAGACATGGATGCAAGGGGCGAATGTGCAAGATGCGATGTCTCTCAAGGCGGATGGTACCTGGTCAGCGGGAAGGTACCTTACGGCGTGACTAAGGCGGGCGCGACGCACCGATCAGACTTGAGCCGATATTGCAGCGGGCCCAAAGGTGAAGAAAACCGGCCCGCTCGAATCTGGCGTTCAAACGAATCCGTCGTGCTTTATATAACGACGGTGCAAAGAAGGGGTTCGACTTTCCGCCCCATGATTAGAAGTCACAGACTGCCAACGAAAAAAATTCACCTGATTTCGGCAGGTCCCTGGGTTGACGGTCTTCCGTCCATTCCCAACGGGCGCTTCGCGGCACCTGCCGCTCACTTCCTCAGGGGTGACGCTATTATGCCTAGTGCGCAGGATGACGCGGTCCTCACCAAACGCGACGCCGTCGCGCCTTGTGCGCATGATGACCTGGCCGTGGTTCCAAGCCGGATCGATGCGCGAGGACCCCGGGGCCCCGTGCCACGTGGCGCGGCAGCGGGCGATCGCCTTCGACCCCGCGCGACCTCGCGACACAGTCACCAGGGTCATACTTTCACTTCTGCGTGAGTGCGCTATACAGTGAGCTCGGGACGATCTTCTTGACTGCGAGCTCGGGGCGGTCTTCGTCAGTTTCTCGACGCTGGACGCGGCCGCGTCGTGGTCGTAGATGATCAGGCCACCCATCACGCTCAGGATTAGCGCTCGGCCAATGCTGCACTTGGTCGCGGGGTCGGCCCGCAGGTCCCGAGCGTCGCACCATTGCGCGTCATCGATCTGCCCGGGGCGCAGCTGGTCGGCTAACCATCACAGGTCGCCAGCCTTACTGTTCTCGGACGGCGGCCGAAACGGGTCTGCGAGCTGGGCGCCGAAGACGGCCACGCCGTCGATGACTAGGTCAGCAGGGATTGCGCCCCCCCCCCCCCCCCTCAGCCCCCCAGCTTTCTCGGCGGAGGCCAGGCCTTGCACCAGCTCGCGCAGCGCGAGGAGGTGCGCCCACAGGCCGTCGGCAGCGCCACATGCTGCGAGCAGCTCGAAGACCGAATGGAGATCTGAATATGAGATTCTGATCGACTTACTGCGCCCAACACGCGGCAAACCTGTTTACCGGCGCCATGGAACCTGCCGAGGCGCATGTACCCAGCCAGCTCTTCTCATACCGAATGCTCACACTGAGTCGCCTGGCGCACTCCAGCAAGGCTAGCGCGACGCGTGCCTCGACCTTCTGCATGGCCAAAGCAATGGAATTAAGCTGCATGCCTCGTCGAATGAGCAGCGTATTCTCGGCCCCCTGCACGACGAGAACGCACGCCGCGCAACGTAGCGCTGGGCGAGGCGGGCGCCAGCTGCCCCCAAAAGAGACACAAGGAGGTCGGGAAGCTGACCTCCTGCCAGTTCGTCAACTTTTGCCTTGACCAGGTCGACGTGTCTGAACAGTATCAGTGCGTCGATATACTCGTCCTGGTCGAACGCCGCGGTGCCATCGCAACTGAGGAGGTGCTGGTGCACTCCGCAATTGGCAAAGTCGTCGTAGCCCCATTCATCCTGCCGAAGACGCTCTCGACTTGGCTGATCAGCCGGTCGACATGCCCCTCTAGCCCACCGATCCGATCTTCAGATCGTCAACACGCTTGGACAACCTGAGCACAAGCTAAGCTCCGAAACGCCGGCAGCATAGCTGCTGGGCGTCACGCGCATGACCTCGAGCTCCGGGCCCCACCTGGCAGGTTTGGCGCTGCGCTCAAGTGAGCGCGCGACCTGGGCCAGCTCCATGGAGAGAACTCTGGGCGCATCCTCGCAGCCCGCACCCGGCTCGACGCGGCGCAAGCACCCGGTCCGTTCGCCGAAGTTCTCGCGGCCAGGCACCTGCCCGAGGACGGCTGCACTGCCGGGCGGCAGGGCGAAGTAGTTCCCCCCCCGATGTGCCCCGCCCGGCTCCTGCATCCCTGCAGAATTCCATGCCCAGCAGGAATGCCTTCTCGACGTCAACGGCGACGCGCACCCAGTCGGGGCGACGCGCCGCCCCCGTGGATAGCAGGCGCTGAGACGCCCGCTTCGCTGCCCCAGCGAACGTCTCCAGGGCCCTGGCGCCCGCGTCGCGGGGAGCCCCGCAGCGCCACGCGGCACCGCGCGATCCTGACAGTCTCGCCGCCTGACCCCGTCGGGTGTCTCTGCATGAAGACACGCCTGGAATCCACTGCGTTTCGGGCGCCCCGGAGCGGCCGTCTGTCGACGCGCTTGCATGTGATCCAGATGGCGAGCTCCCCTGGGGTGACTGCTGAGACCAGCCCGGCGGCCTCGTCAAGATGCCTCCGCGGCAGTCCCGAAGCACAAGCTGACACTGGTTGAGGATGACCTTGTCCACGCTCGATACTGCCCGCGCCTCTGGCCAGGGCGGCTCGGCGCACAGCCACGATGGTTCCGGCTACTCGTTGGCGACGTCGCCGCCCAGCCCGCAACTGCGCTAGGCATCCGCAGATACGGCCGCGCGGCGCCGCGCCCTCGCAGTCGAAGGTCCGCCCAACGGCCGCGGGGCTCGCGAGTAGAAGCCACGATGGCGACTAGGGGCCGATTCCGGCGCGCGCACCGCTCCACGGCCCGCCGCTGGCTCCCGCGGTTGAGGTCACAGGCAGAAACCAAGTCGAAGCTCCCGCCAATTCTGAAACGAGAGGTGACTACCATTCTGCCGGTCCGCGCCACCTCACCGCACTCCTCCATTATGTCGGCGCCGTAGTCGAGTGAGGTGAGGTAGGTGATGAGCTGGTGGACGTCGTCGACCTTGGCTGACAGGGCCGTTTAAGCACTCGCCAGACGGCGATCTTTTGCTGGGACCGACGAGCCCTGGAAACACCAGGCGGGCACGCCGCAGGCATGGCTGCCGCGGAGGTCGTCGTCGTCGCACTAGTCGGCGAAGCCTGGCTCGCCGACGGCCGGGAAGCCCAGAAGCTACGGGGCCAGACCTGCGAGGTCGGAGCCAGAGTCGTCGCAGTGATCCTCCACCCTGCTTGCGCACCTCCGGCACGTGGCCTTCTTTTACATTCATTCTCTGGCGCATGCGCTCGGCTGCAGGGTCGGCGCCGACAGCGCAACTGTCGGACACCTGTCGCGACTGCCCTGACAGAACCACGTTTCGGCGGGGACCGGCACTCGGGCCAGTGGAGACCCCTGCCACATTCGCCGTCTGAGTGATGTGCTGCGCGGCGCTCTGGTCTTGGATGTCGTGCTTGCGGTTCTCACAGCGGTTGCGGATTCCCGTTGGACTGGTTGAGGCGTTCGAATCCAGCGAGCAATCTGGCGTCGCGCTGTCGGAAGCGCACCGCCCTAGACACGCCTCCGAGAGTATAACAAGGTTTGCTTACCAATAGGTCAGACGCAAGTCGCACGAGCTCGCGGCACATCAAAGCAAAGTGCACATGTCGGTCGTTGATCGTCTAGCCGTCGATGCGCTCCTCCAGCTTAACGTTGCACCGGCGCAGCTGGTTCTGAAAGGGCCCAGGCCCGAAGCGCACTGCCTCGGAGCGATGGCGCCCCAGTCGCCATTCCCTCCAGTTTCTCCCCGCCAGGCACCGGCGACATTGTCGCCGGTTGCCTCTTCTGCGTTTTTCGTCCCAGGGCTCTCGAAACGCGATCCCAAGGAGCTCGAGAACTTGTTTTTGCAACGCATATGTGAACGCTGCATCTAGCAAATGTCTAACACTTGAGGCTGCCCCCACAAGCGGGGGCATTGACAATTAGGGGTCCTGTATGCCCGGGATGGGTCGCAGAGCGGTCTTTGTAGATCGTGGTGATGTTATCCTTGATGAGGTACTCGTAGTCCTGCGTAATGTTGTCCTTGATGAGGTACTCTTCGTGCTCGCTCCAGGTCACTAAGCCTGGCGGGTGGGCTGTTGCAGCTCCGACATGCCCTAAAGCAGCGCCCTCTGCAAAAGACATGGGGGTGAATTGCACGAAAGCGATGATGTTGAAGGCGGTGATGTTGAAGGCCGTTTTTTTTGTAGATGCCGTACTTGTTGTAATTGAGTGGGGGGATGAGTGAGATCCCGGCGCGGTCGACGCATAGCAAGACATGGCGGCCATGGTGGGAGCACGGGGGACGTGGCTCCACTACCATCTCGAGAAGTGGATGTAAAGGTGAGTGTGAAAGATGAGACATTTCTGAAAGCAGATGGCACCTGGTCATAGGGAAGGAACCTTCAGGCGTGAAGAAGGCGGGCACGGTGCACTGATCAGGTTTGCGCCGATACTGCAGCGGGCAAGCAAAAGTGAGAAACAGGCAAGGACAGTTCGAGCCCCAGGGGGAGGCGGAGGAGGAGGAGGAGGAGGAGGAGGAGGAGGACGCAGAATAGGAGGCGAAGGAGGAGGAGGAGGAGGAGGACCTCTCCATCCTCTCTTCTCCCCCGTCCCTGGGGAAGCCAAAAGGTACCGATACCGCTGCTCCGAAGACCTCTCCCACGGTGCGCTCGGGCCCCGATTTCGAAGCGAATCCAGCAGTGGCGACGAGGCCCTCCCAGCCTTGGAGGCCCACAAGGGGGAGAGAACGAGGCGAGGGTAGCGGTATGGGCACCTTTTCCTCCTCCCAAACCCCGGGCCCCCTGCTGTGCGCGGGGGCGCGCGGGGGCGTCCGACACCATCGTGGACCAGGTGCTCGCGTTGGACGAAGACACCTGCCTGATGCGGGAGGCGGCGGGAGGAGGAGGAGGAGGAGGAAGGAGGAGGAGGAAGGAGAAGAAGAACAAGAAGAAGAAGAAGGAGAAGAAAAAGATGAAGAAGAAGAAAAAGGGGAAGGAGAAAAAAGGGAAGGAGAAGAAGGGGAAGGAGAAAAAGGGGAGAAGAGGAGGAGGAGGAGGAGGAGGAGGAGGCGAAGCAGGAGGAGGAGGAGGACGAGGAGGAGGGGGAGGAGGAGAAGGAAGAGGAGGAGGAGGAGGAGGAAGAGGAGGAGGGGCGGAGAAGGAGGAGGAGGAGGAGGCTCTGCTCGAAGCTCCACAAGGAAGTCGGCTGCGAGCCCACAGGCCACGCCGCCCCCCGAGAAGGCCTGCCCCCTCTCTCCGCTTCCCCCCACCGATGGGCTCGAAGCCCAGAAAAGGGCGAGGGTAATGGGGCTTTGAATTCGCCCAGGGCTTGTTCCAAACGGCCCCGGACGGCCCGAGACGGCCGCAGGGACGGCCCAAGCCGGCCTCCCGAGAAGCCGCGCGGGAGGGCACGAAGATTCCAAAGTCATCGGAGATTGCCCAGGTTTTCAATGACTTGTGTATTCTCGCAATTCAAGCTTCCGACAGCCGGAAACGGCCCCAGGGAACGGCAAGATAGCCTCAAGACGACGCAAAAATACCCAAGACAGCCCCAAAACGGGCCAAGCGGCCCCCACGACGGGAACGAATAAACAAACGAGTACCGCTGCGGACAACGGTCCGGGCCTAGCTAATGCTGGGTGGGTGAGGCCGTGGCCTCTGGAATCTGGCTCGTCTGGACAACATACCAGCGCGAGGGAAGGGGGAGGGGGAGGGGACGGGAGGGGGCGAAGGAGCAGGAGTGGAGGGAGGGGGAGGGGGGGAGGGGTGCGGGGGCACAACGCAGATCCGCAACCAACGTCGCTGACGCGCGCACTGGCGCGGGCACTGAAATGGCATATCCTGTGGACGATGTTTCGTTCTTGTCCGCCGGCTTCTGCCAGCATTCCGCCGTCTTCTGCAGGCGGAGCCGCTCACGTTCTTCGTTCACCAGCATCCGCTGGCCGTCCGCCCGCTTCCACCATGGAAGACGTGTCAACTGCTCGATCCATCGAAAGCGAAGTTTTCGTTTTCTGGAGGACGCCATGCATCGTGCTGACTACGCTTCAGGCCCCATGACGACGCTGCTCGTCAACTATGCCAGGAACACTCCCTCCCTCAACAGGACATCTGGCACCGCCTGCACATCTCGCCCATCGTCTCCAGCCTGGCACGCGCGCTGCAAGCTCGTAGCGGCAACTCCTTCCCATTGGTCCTCGTCGTCATCCTCCTCTTCCTTATTTTCGTCGTTCTACTCCTCCTCCTCCTCTTTTTCCTCCTCCCCCTCTTTCTCCTCCTCCCCTCCTCCTCCTCCTCCTCCACCTGCTCCCTCTTCCTCCTCCTCCTCTGCCTCCTCATCATCCGCATAATCACCATCATCAGCAGCATCATCAGCATCATCAGCATCATCCTCATCATCCTCATCATCATCATCATCATCATCATCATCATCATCATCATCCTCATCATCATCATCATCATCATCAGCATCATCAGCATCATCATCATCATCATCATCATCATCATCATCATCCATTACCTCCCCTGCTGGAAAATTGTTCCTTGTAGCACCCCGAAGCCACTCGGAAGGGCGGGCCAGGCGCTCCGCTCCCTTACCATGTATGAGCCTTGGGCTTAAAAACAAGCGGGTCGTTTTCAAAATGTGGCTCTCGCCTTGGCGCTGCGCAAATTCGTATGTGAAATTGCAAGCGAGCAACGGAGCGGCCCGCATGGAAGCGGCGCGGGCCCTCCTCCCCGGCAGTGCGCCGGGCCGGGAAATTGATCAGCGTGCGATAAAACAAATTGATCCATGTGGTGAGAAACAAACTGAGACAAAACAGGCGGGCAAGACAGCACAAGCCAGCCCGGGCGCGCCACGGGGCACGGCCCGACACACCTAAGGATGGAACGGCAATAATTATACACGGGCATGCCCACGTCAACTTGCGTTTTCCTCAAGGCGCCCGGGAAGGAGGAAGGGGAGGAGGGAGGGGGAAACGACGACGACACGAACGGCAAAGAGAGAGGCAATGTGTCAGTCGTACCAGCGTTTGCACTGGCCTCCTACGCTTCGTCGTGCGCGTACTCGAAAACACGGCACCCACTGCATTAGACGCGCGCCCCATCGATCATCTTGTGCTGCAGAAGTTTTCTCGGCAGCCGATGACTTGCTTTCAACCGGATGTTTGTCTAGTCTTGGACCCCGTGTCTCCTTGCGAGTGACCCACATGAACCCAGTGGCCTGGGCATGCATTCCGCCCGTTGCTCGTGTGGCTGGCGCCCCATACCGATCATACGACGCAGCATCTTCCTTTGCGCAAGGCGAAGACGCTTCACCTGCTCGACCCTTGAAGTCCAGAGCCTCACACGATCACGAAGGGGCGCACGTCGATTGCATGGCATACCCTTCAGGCTGCAAAAAGCTGCCCATGCTGACGAGATGCGGTTGCTCATATCCTCCCCTTGGTAGCCGTCCAAAGTGAACTTGCGGTCGAAGAATGCATCCGCCTCTCCGGGCTGCAGCACGCGCACGCTGTTACCGGCACATCAGACGGTTGCTGGCTTCGCCGCTGAATTGGTCACCACCGTGGTTTTGCCCACGTGCAGTTCCAGGCCGCATTTCTTCGCTTCGGCCCCCAGGTCCACGACCCCGCGGCACGCGTTTCTCTCGTTGGAAGGTAGCAGGAGCACGTCGTCGGCGAACCTCAACTTGCTCAGGGCGTTCGCTGCGTCGTCGACTACGAAACCATAGCATTCACCAGCGCGCCCGGCGTCGACGCTGCCCCACCTCTTTTGGAAAGACCGGAAGATCTGTTCCACGACGACGAAGAGAAACGAGCTGACCGGATCGCCTTGCTCGACGCCACAAGATATGCCGAACGCGCAGATTCGCACACCCGCAGCAACGCAAGCCGATTTCCCCGCGCACAGCCGCATCAGCAGGTCAACGCACTCTGGCCGGACATTATGTTTCTCTCGCGCTGACCGGAGAGCGCCATGTCCCGCTGCATCGGAAGCCTGTTCGAAGTCCCCCATGCCAACCCACAGCTCAAAATTATAATCCCTCGTGGCCTCATGCAAGAACGTTGCGCACATCGGATGGCCCACGGTGATGGCCCGTGGGCGACGCGCAGCCAGGACGACGGATGGCTCCCAGATCACGCCCCCCCGCAGTCTGCTCAAAATCAATCCACTCAATAGCTCGCACAAGACGGCGAGGATCGCGATGGGCCTGTAGCTCGACGAAAGCGAGGCGCCCCCATTCTCGTACAGGACGGAGATACTGCCCGATCACCAATCCGCGGGCAGTTCAGCAGTAGGGCTAGGCACTTGGTCGAAGGTTTCAAGGATGACTTCGCGCGAGATCAAGGAGTCTACCTTGAAAAACTCCGCCCGCACGCCTTGATCATCCGCCGCCTTACCGTTCCTCACATCTCGAACCGCAGCGGCGAGCTCCTCCCGCGCGAATGGGGGAGTCAAATTGCCAGATTGCCCACCGCAAACGCGCCGTCTGCAACCTCGTCTGGGGCTCGCGGAGAGGCTAACGAAGAAGGTCGCGAACACCTCGGCGTCGTCTTCGCGCCCGCGCAGCAACGCGCCGCCCGGGCCCTTCATCGAAATCACATGGTCGCGCTTGCGGCCCCCTCGCATGCCGCTTAGGTCCCCTGCTCTTTTGAAGTCGCCGAGAGAGTCGCCTCGGCCTTGCTGACAGCGGTCTCACGGCGCGGCCAGCGCGACAGATCCTGCGTTTGTTTGCCCCAGTCATTGCGGATCTCCTTCTTGAGCACAGCAGGGGGGGTCTGATTCTTGCAGACGACGACGCTCGGCAATCAGGGAACTATCTGCTTGTCCAGATCAATCATGTTCGTGTCAAAATGATGCTTCCTCGCGCGCTCGTCGTTTGCCCTCGCGGCAAAGAGCACGCTTCTGTTCCACTCGCCCATGCGGCGCGGCGCTCTGCCAAACGACGCGGCGAAACCGTTCTTCTGGCAGCGTTATGTACGACGACCCAGGAGACCACGGGCGACGACATACTTTCCTGTCTGATGTTGTCCAGGAATCCGGGCAGCTTCAGATCCATCCGAACCGGCTGGCGATCAGAGCCAACGTCAACAACACCGGGAACTGCGCAGGGCGACACTAATGCGATTGTCCTCTTCTGCACAAGAATGTAGCCGAGCTGGCACTTGCGCTCGGCGTTGTCGAAAGTCCGAGCGCCCTCGAATTCAACGTCAAAGAATGCATTAGCAATGGCATAGTCGTGACAATCTGACCCGGGCACCAGCGTCGCGCCCCTGTCGCTTCGCTGCGGCATGGGGTTCTGATCGACGACTTCCCTGTCGTCGCACTCTGTGCACGGCCCCACTTCGGCAAAGGAAGTCTCTGGCGAAGATCACGTGGAACTCCATTGCGCGCGCCGCCCGGCGCTGGACCTCCAACTGGGCACACACACTGCCCCCACGTCTTCTTCAGAAAACTTTGCGCGAGGCATGCAGACAGCCACCGCGAGCGCGGTGCTAAAGCCGGCCATGCGCAAGTCCAGCGCCGCCACTCCGTTGGAAACTGGCTGAAAACACGCATGCCCCCATCGCTGGTGCAACAGTAACCCGACCCCGCATGGGCGCGACATCCCCCCACTCCCAAACCACTGGCGGCCTTCTGATAGCTCCCAAGCTTTTTTCTCCAGTCCCAACGAAAACAATAAGGCCCCAGTGCTGCTCTCCGATCTCTGCCAGACAGCGGCAGACACGATCGTCAAAATGCATTCAAAAATTGACGCTGCATGGCGAAACTGCGAATTAAACACTATCATCAGCCTTAGGGATCTTATCCGGAATCCCCCTTCGACCGGCACGCGGCGGGCCGCCGCTGGTCTTTGCTGAAAGCAATCCCTAGCCCCGAAGGGCGGCCAGGGCAGCTTCGTCGACCACTTTCGCCTCAGCCTGGACTCCCACCTGCTTTAGGCTGCCAGGGTCGAGCTGAACTTGTTCGCAGTCACCGTCCGTCTTCCACTCCCCAACCTGCTTCTGGTTCACGAGGATGACGCCCTTCCTGTAGTCCATCCTCACCTTCTCCGCCAGCGCCCCTCCTATTACGCATAGGAACCTCATGTACTTCCCAAGCGGGTTCCCTTTCTTGCGCTCTTGCTCCTCGAAACAGACACCCACGTCGCCCGGTTACCGGTCGTAGGCTTTGGTTTACGATTGCATTTCCATATGAACGCGTGCAGTAGCGCAGCGCTGGTGAACCTGACGAACCCTACGCTCCCGAACAGGTAAGCGCAGGGTTCCTCCACGCCCTCCGCGTTCATGATGATATGCTAGCCGACGAAGTGGATCACGTTCTTTTTCTCCGTGTCCATGTCGTAGCACCCGATCACGGCAACGCGCACGAACTTGTCCTTCTCCTCCGTCTCTTGCCCACCCGTCTTCGCCGCTGAGCCTAGGAGGAGCTCCACCGTCTCGGCATGCATAGTTTCCACCTCTTCCTTCGTCGACGTTTTCTCGTTCAGATCGCTCACCTGCTCCTCGACGGCCTCCACGCGAGCCATGACCTCCTCGGCAGCAGCGTTCGCCGTGTTCGCCGTAAGTTTGACCGTGTCAAGCTCCCCCTTAACCTCTGCGATGTCCTCCTGAACCTGTGCGACACCATGCTCACAAGTTTTTTCAATACTTTGCCCCACTTCGCTGCCCACGCTGGTCGTTTCTCCACCTGGTTCTCCTCATCAACGTCGATCGTCTCGACCTCCACCACCGCCGTCTCACATTCGCCCTTTTGCCTCTTCGGACCCTTCGGCTTCGGACTCGGACTCGCAGCCGATGCTTCGGACACGGACTCGGACTAGCATGATGCGCGCCCATGTGTCGCACGCCTCGCTCAGAAGAAGTGTTGGGCTGTGTAGGTGTAGCTGGAAGCTGAAGCTACTCGCTGTAAGTTGCGAGGATTTCACGGATTGAAGGCGGGTCGTTTTCAAAATGTGGTTCTCGCCTCAGCGCCGTGCACACTCGTTCTAAAAAGGTTGCAAGAGCTTCAAAGATTGAGGACGGTTCCTTTTTCAAAATATGGCTCACGAGTTAGCACTGCGCAGACTTCGCTGTCAATTGGCAAGAGTTTCGCTGGCTCTCATGGCGAAACGATTCAGGACTGTCAGGGCGCAAAAATTACGTTGGTTCGTGGTGGTGAAGTCCCCGGAACGGTGTTCTGGCACGATTCAGGATCGTCAAGACGCAACAGTCAGCTTGATTCGTGGCGTTGAAATCCTGAGAATGGCGTTATGGTACGCTTCCGGATTTTCACACGGTTGTCCCCCAATGGGGCACTTCCCTCCGTGGGAATGAATCCTTGTGGGAACCTCTGAAGAGGGAGGTTGGATGGAAGGTGTATTCCAACATCATTGATGAGTCTTGGATGTACTCTGGTCCTCCTCCTCCTCTTCTTCCTCCTCCCCCTCCTCCTCCTCGTCCCCCTCCTCCACCTCATTCTCCAATATCTTCCCTCTCCTCCTCCCCCCCCCCCCTCCTCGGCGTCATCCTCCTCCTCGTCCTCCTCGACCCTATACCTCTATTCCTCATTGATATTCACTCCCCAATCTGCCACCTAGCCCGTCGACAGCAGCTCAGTGCAGGTGGTCCCGTCCTACATGTACGCACTGTGACGTACCCAATCCGTCAGCATTAAAAATGGCGCGAGGGGGTGATCCAGAATGGCATGGTTGATGACAACACAGGATCTGTCATTGGTTGCGCAAGCCAGATGGCACGCGCGGCAGCCCTCGAAAGCTGCAGCAGATTCGCAGATCGCAGCCCCCCCAAGAATAGCGAGGTCGAATATGAATCCCCAGTAAGACGTCACTCTGATTGACCCCCCAGCAACACTCGAAAATTGCGAAAGATTCGCAGATCGCAGCCCCGCAAGGATGGCGACGTCTAATATGAATCCATGGTAAGACGTCACCCCGCTGAAACCCGCAGCACCCCTCGAAAGTGGCGACATGTTCGCAGACCGCAGCCTCAAGGGATGGCGAGGTCTAGTCTGAATCCCCAGTAAGACGTCATTCCACTAGACCCCCGAGTACCCCTCGAAAGTGGCGACGTTTTCGCAAACCACAGACCCTGGGTATGGCGAGGTCAAATCTAAATTCCCGGAAGACGTCACTCCGCTAGACCCCCCCAGCACCTCTCGAAAGTGGCGACGGTTTCGAAGATCGTAGCCCCCAAGGGATCGCGAGGTAACGTAGGACGACGAGGTAAGACGCGAGCTAGCAAGCAGGTACAAACCAGGTATAAGGCAGGCGAGACAAGGATCAGGGAAGAGAGGAGGAGGAAGGCGGAAAGGAAGGAATTGCGACCGCAATGCTCTTCAAAACGAGAACCCTACGCAGGAGGGTTGGGAACAAATGTGTCGTCCACGTTGGAAAAATGTTTGGCAGGAATGGGACGGAGCACGCTTCCCGCGCGAACGGCCGAAATCTCGCTCTCGTCCCCACGCCGAGCACGTTTCGCCTGACAGTGGCGTTGCCGCTTCGGCGCGGCGCACATTCTCCTCTCGCCAGATTGGAGGGTCCAGCGCGAGCGGGCGACTTGTCGCCCTCGCCCGAACTCCGTGCGCATCCCGCTCGGAAGCAGGGTTCCCGCGCGGGCGCGGCGCATGGTTCGTGAGCCGAATGGACAGCGACAGCGGCAGCGGCGCCGCGCGAGAGCAGGCGCAATGCCGACCTCGCCGCATCACTGCGCAGTCTGCGAGTGGAAGTGACAATGCTGTGTCGGCGCGGCGCATGCTTCCTTCGTCTTCGCCGCGCCAATCGGAAATGTCGCCGCTCCTGCCCCTGCGCGACCCGCGTAGTTTTCTGTTCGCCACGTCGTCAGAAGCGGGGCCGCACGCGACAGCCTTCCTTTCGCTAGGTGGGAACGCGTTCCGATCCCAACAACAGATTGTGCCACAACTGGCTCGCACATGATGGGAGGGAGGTTGAGAATAGGCGGGACCCTGACTCGCTCGAGCTGGCTAACTTGCCTTCTCGTCATACTATTCCTTGACCCCCACACCCCCCACTCAGCTCTCTCCCCGTCCCCCTGTGTAGATTTATGCACAAGACTGAAATGGCGCCTCGCGCAATGCACCTCGGCCTTTCCAGTGTAGCACGCATGATGCGACATGATAGATAGAAAGAAGGAGAGAGAGAGAGAGGGAGAGAAACAACAACAACAAACAAAACTCCCTCGGGCTCCCACGTCGCTGGGGCGCCCCCCAGGCACACAGACAGACAGACACAGACACAGACACAGACACAGACACAGACACAGACACAGACACAGACACAGACACAGACACAGACACAGACACAGACACAGACACAGACAGTCAGACCCACAGACAGACACACAGACAGACAGACAGACAGAGGGACAGGCAGGCAGACAGAATGACAGACAGACAGACAGACAGAAAGACTGACTGGCATAGAAACAAAAGAGGGAGAGAGAGAAACACAAAAGAGAGATATAAACAGAAGAACGAAAGAGGGCGAGCGAGAGAACTAGAACCCCCCATCATGTATATTGCTGTGTGTGTTCGCTCTCTCTCTCTCGCTCTCTCTCTCTCTCTCTCTGCTCTTACCCTTCTCTCTATGATGTTTTTCCTCCTCATGTTTCGTCCTCCTCTTCGTTATCGTCATTCCCTGTGCACCCTTCCTCGCGGAGCCTCCTCACTGGGGGGCCTCTAGAGAGACCCTCGAAGGCCTCTTTTGGGCTTCTTGGAAGCCTCTGGAGGCTGCTACAATCGACCCGTATCATCAGGATCCGCGATAAGGACGCAAGGGCCTTGGAAGGCCATGTCGGCACTTTGCGGGCGGGGCGCGGCCAGCGAAAGCGGCCAAGGATGGACCGAGGAGGCAAGGATGCAAGGGTACCCTTCAAAAGGTTGCCCGCCCTTCCTATGCGGGTTGACTGTAGTTTCTGACGGCATCAGGTGGGCTTCCGAAGGTGTCGCCGGTGGGCGCCTCGTGAGCGCCTCGCAGGCGCCCCTTGCGCTGCCTGGGTTTGTCAGACCTTCCCCAGAGCTGCCGCCCGTGGGCGCCCCGTACGCTGGCTGAGTTCTCCGTGGGCGCCACGAAGGCCTGCTCGCCGCCGTGGCCAGTCCCGCAGAGGCAAGCAAACGCCTGCGCGATAGCAGTGCCAAGGCGGCACGCAAACACCTGCAGCCCGGCACGGCCTCCGTCTCCTCATCCGTCTCCGCCTCCTCGTCCTCCTCCTCCTCCTCCTCCTCCGACGGCTGATCCCCCCCCCACCGTCCCCTCTCCTCCCCATCTTTCTCTTCGTCCCGTCCTGCCGCGCGCGCGGCGGCGGGTAAAAGCGCGGGCGGGCTGCGCGCGCCGCAGGGAGCGGCCGCGGCGCCGGCACTCGGAACTGGCGGGGCGGGTGGCGGGAAGGAGGGGAGGGGGCGGCGGGAGGAGGAGGGGGAGGCAAGAAGCGGGGAGGAGCGGGGAGGGAGGGGGGGAAGCGGAAGGGGGGGAAGGGGGGGGGCGGGGGAGGAGCGAGGGGAGGCGAGAGGGCGAGGGCCAGGAGGAGGAAGGGGGGGAGAGGTGGAGAGGGAGGGAGAAGAATTGGAGGGGGGTAAGAGAGGCGAAGGGGAGGGAGCACGAGCAGGAGGACATGCAAGGGAGCAAGGAGAGAGCGGGGCGGGCGGGGGGGAGGAGGAGGTGAAGGACTGGCAGCGGCGAAGGGAGGGAGAGAAGGTTCGATGCATTATGCGCGAGAACGATTTTGAGACACGTTCCGCTCTACTGGAGCCTAGTAGTGTCTACAAATGTCCCTATTAGCGTCTAGTGGCGCCTATTCGCACTCATCAGCGCCTATTG